TATCTATAGTGACAAAATTAGCTCTTTGGAGACAAAAACAAAACAAAACAAAACAAAGGCCATTCAAGACGCAATTTGTTGTAATCAATTGTAAAACCTAAATTACACAGGAAAATAAACCATAGTAAAATAACAAACACAATCCAATAATAACATAAATAAATAAAATTAGAACCTCTTGTGGACAAAAATTAACGAACTATGGACATATTTATGCATAAATCGTCTATAACAGTGTATATTTGTCACTCAATTCTGATATACACTTATCACAAAGGGACAAAGAACATTTGCCATTGCTCTTGCCTTCATAGTCTATATGCTAAATCATTTAACAGTGATACAAAATCATTTTAATCTTACATATCATCCCGTTCACAATTTTACATTGAATCTAAAAAATTCAATGTGTGGACTTGCCATTGCATAAAGGATTTAGTAGCAAGTATATTGAGGGTACTATTTTTATTTTCTAGATTATAATGACTTAAAATAGCATCCCTACTTACATAATTAAACCACTATGCAAGTTTTTCATCTCTTATTCCAATATTCACTAATAAATTTTATCACTATAGAAAATAACAAACCAGTAACTGTGTTCAACCAAAACAATTTTGCAACAAAAAAATTCAATATTTATCACATATATATCTCAAACCTTTCAATATCATCATCAAAACAATTGTAACTTAACTCCAAATCGCAAACAAATTCTACTCACTAATAATCTCCAAGTAAATCAGTTCCATTCACTTATGAATTAGTTCCATATTCAAATTCCTACTCACAAAAATCAAATAGAACCACAAAATTCAAACTAAACGCACGAAGTATAACAACAAGGGGCAAAATCGGGATAAAAAAAATATAGCAGGACTTCTTGGTGTATGAGATAGAAGCTTAGGACCTAATGAGTAATAGATTCAATTATTAGGACTGGCTGGTAAAAAAACCTTTAATAATCTAGTTTCAACCAAGGATGCAAATGAATTGGCTTGTTCATGAATTGTTCGAGCTTAACTCGTTCACAAATGAATGATTTTGGATCAAGTTTTTAAGCTTGTTTAATAATCGACCTGAGCTTGAGTGAGCGGTATTTTTTGTTTGTTTGTTTAACACAAAATTAGTTTGTTTATTTAATTACGTTGACTTGAGCCGAACTGTTGATTTGCAACACTGTTGAACTGCACATCTCAGGGGTTCCCATTGAAATATCTTGGGTTGCCTTTGGGTGTGAGCCCAAGGAGAAAGAACATATGGAAACCAGTTGTGGATAAAATTAAGGCCAGACTATCTGGCTGGAAAATGAGACTTTTGTCATTTGCTGGTAGGTTGACATTGATCAAGGCAGTATTATCTAATCTGCCAGTGTATTACCTATCACTGTTCAAGATGCCCGAAGGAATTGCTAAGGAAATAGATAGAATTCAGGCTGCATTCTTATGGGAAGGCATAGAGTTGAAGAGGAAAGTGTATATGGTGAGCTGGAAGGAGGTAACTTTGAGAAAACTTTAGGGAGGGTTAGGTATTCGGAGAATTAGGGATGTTAACGTATGCCTCTTGCTTAAGTGGTGGTGGAGGTTTGCAAATGAAGGAGAATCTTTATGGAAGAAGGTAATCTGCAGTAAACACAATTTGGAAAAAGGGAGACTGGTTTCCTATTCTGAATCAAGAAAATAGGGGCTCAAAAATCTGGAGGGATATCCTGGCTGTGGCAGAGTGTAGAGCCAATTTGGTTCATTTTTATGTTAATCATTTCAAGATTGCAGTGGGTAATGGACTTAGAGTAAAGGTTTGGCATGATAAATGGTGTGGTGAGGTATGTTTTAAAGAGGAATTCCCTAGATTATTCAGGTTATCTAATGAGCAAAGAGGCTCTTTAAGGTTCTTTGTTGAAAAGAAAGAAAATTTAGAAAATTGGGTGTTTACTTTCAGAAGGCAACTGTTTGTTTGGGAGGATGAGGAACTTACCAGGCTCAGAGATTTGCTGAGATTGGCTCCATCTCTCAATCTGGATGGTGTGGACAAACCAGTGTGGTCGGCTGCCAAATCTAGACAGTCTCTTGTATCATCATTGTACAATTACATAGTAATAGAGGCTGCGGAGTTGGGGTTTCTTAGGTCAATATGGGTGAACTATCTTACACCCAAAGTGCAATTTTTTGGGTGGCTTGCTTGGAAACATAAGGTGAAGACTTGTGTGTTTCTTCAGAGAATTGGAATTTTGGATGGGAGTGTGTCTTCTAATTGTGTGTTTTGCAAAAATGAGCCCGAGACAATAGAACATGTCCTTATTTTGTGCCCTATGGTTTTGAGGGTGTGGACATGTCTGTTACAGTGGTAGGGTATGCTTTGGGTTGTGCCAAACTCAGTCGAGTGTCTGCTGCATTGGTGGACTGGAATCTAGTTTAACAAAACAGAGGGGAGAATCTGGAAGGCCATTCCACTTGTAGCTCTTTGGTCAATTTGGAAGTGTAGAAATGATTGTGTGTTATTAAGGTTGGGGAGCTATTGTAGGCTATTAAGCCTATCCTATCGTATCCTATCATTGGCTCTGTTTCAACCCTGGCATCTTCTCGTGGGTGGTAGCATATGATAGGATAGGCTTCTAGGTGCAACCTCAGGTGGGATGATGCTTTGTGCACCCTCTGCTAATTTGCTTGTCTCTGCTGCCAGTTTTGGAGTTTGCTGATCTGTTCGACGATGCCGCTGCTAATGGTTTACTCAACATTGTGTTCGGTTGCTAATAGTCATCTCAGCATTGGTCTGCTTTTGCTCAATAGTGGCTACACCTTTTAGTTGTTTTTGCTTGTTGGTTTTGCTATTGTGCTTTATTTGTCGGTCTGTCACCAACTGGAGCTTGGAGTTTGAGCTAACTTCAAGCTCATCTTTATTGATGTACTTTATCATACTTTGTATGTTTTATCAATAAAGATTTCTTTTACCGTTCAAAAAAAAAAAAGTTGACTCGAGCCGAGCTCAATTTTTTGAACTCTACTTCAGATTGGCTAGAGCTCAAACTCAACTAATTTTCAACCAACTAAACTTGAGCATTCCAAAGTTGGGCACCACCTCTCAATTCGTTTGCTTGTTGGCCCCATATGCATGTTTGCTTGAATTTTATTTTATTTTTTAGTAGAAAAAACACTGTTTTGATGTGGCAAAATTTATCTATCTCCACAAAAATCTCTCACAAAACCACTCATTCAGGTACTCTTATCGGTAAGATGTTAATGTTACGGAATAAGTGAATAGACCCTTACCAATAAAAGAAAAGTCTGTGAAAAGATATTTTTGTAGGAGATTTTTGTGAAGGATGTACTACGACTTTATGTTCTAATGCATTAACCACTAGCTCAATAAAATTCCATCACTGAGGTGGTTTCCAAAAGTACAGAATGACCTTTTACGAAGAAGAGCCAAAAAGCTCAACTCCATTTAGCCCTTTCTAATAACTAAGAATTTCTCCAAGATCGAGTCATTTGAAACCCACTCGTATAAGATAAACCCAAACAATTGCAATTACTCACAAAACATCCCAGTCCTATAAGATAAACCCGAACACTTGCAGTTACTTACAAATCACAAATGTTGGGTGCGTCATGAAACAAGCAGCTCAAGACCTCTGGGTTACCTCACTGTTAAACAAGGACGGCTAAGCTTCTTTGTTTTCTGCCAACCAATGATTTGTAAGTGAAAAAAACAAAATATAAAAATAAAAAATAAAATAAAATAAATTAAGAGAGGAAAAAAAAAATTGAAAGAGGTTTGATGGTGACTAAAACTCAATTTCTAACTTGAAAATTTTCTTTTGGTTTGAAACATTATTAAAAAAAATTACCAATCATATTTGTAGGGTGGATAACTTATCCGGATCCCTGTGGTAAATAAAATAATCTCAGATGAGACAGAAATGCTAGATATATATCAAGAAACCAACCACCAAAAAAATATATATATATGTGGTACTAAGATATAAAATATGCTGCCTAAGTACTTATAATTGGTTTCTTGCTCTCTAGCAGTGTTCATTATTTTATCCCAAGATAAGATTTATTTAGGTCTCGTTTGAAAATATATTATTTTAGTAAATTTTTTATGAAAAGATATGTAAAAAAAATTGAGAAAGATATGATAATTTATAATTAGTTTTTGACTTTTAGACTAAAACGTGTAGTCCTCAAACGAGGCTTTAGCACAAATTATTATGCAACTTGGAACTTCTCTGCATGAAATTTTGGCAAATTTATTGAAATGAAGATTAGCAAAGGTTTAAAAACATGGAACTTGATTTTTATTGCACTGAGAGAAAATTGATAACCAATTACAAAATAAACACCAGACTGAACCATTGTACAAGCAATGGAATCTGTAAAATGGCCCTAATAACTCCTGAAAAATAATTTTTTCTTACTTTTGAGCAACTTGAACTAAGACCACGTTTAATACAATAGAATAGGTTAGAATTTAATACCCATTCTAGCCTTTCATTCCCTTTGTTTGGTATGCCTTATTTAAGTAGGAATAGTCAATCCATTTGAATGCCTATTCCAACAAAATGTGAGAATGCCTATTCCTTCCTCCAACCCAAGGAATGACCATTCCATTCCATCATGGAATTATTATAAAATTTTATTAATATTTTTTTTGCAGGCACTTAAAAAAGAATATTATTATTTAACTACTACGACCATTTCGTTCTCCTACCACTCTACCGCCAACGTCACTGCCACCGCCACCGCCGCCGCCACCAACTGCTACCCTATTGCCACCACTACCACTGCCACCACCACCACGGTCGCCACCAGAAGCACCACACCATCATATTACCACCGTACTACTAGTGTCACCACTATTACCACCACCACTACCGTTGGCCGCCACAATAGCTGCCGCCACTATCACCACCACCACCACTACGACTCACACCTTCACTTTCACAACTATTAATATTATCATGATCTATATAAATTTTCAATTTATTTGTTACTAGTTTGTTAAAAAAATAAATAAATAATAAAAATTTATTCCATGATTTTAATAAACATAACCAAACATATGAATGAGAATTATCATCATATTCCTATATTATTCCATGTTGGCAACCAAACAGTGGAATGGAAATTGACATTCCATTCCATTCAACCTTATATTCCATTCTTACTCTCATTGTATTCACATTTCATTTCATTATATCGTACCAAACATGCTAACACTTTCTATAAGTATTAAAAGACAATACTCCCTCACGGCTATGTGGAGTAACCAATTTATATATCCACTACCCAGAAAAAACTAAACACTTTCTATTCAATCAAGCATTGAACCACACTCCAAAATTTTCTTGCTCTAGATGAGTCACACCAAAGATTTTGTGGCGTTTCATTGATCGGTTGCGGAATGTCTTGAAGTCCAATACTTCTCAATTTCCTCCGCAGTTCTTCCTGGAATTCTTCCAGCAATGAGAGACCACCTAAACAATCATAGTGACATTATTCCCCTATTAGCAAATAAAAAAAAGTTAAGAACCAGTTTAGTTGTGTTTTTGTTTTCTGTTTTTATTTTGCGCTTTTGGATGAATTTTCAAATTTTTTAATGGAACACTCACTTTTTAGTAACCAACAAAAAGTTTTTTTGTTTTTTTTTACAATTTTCAAAAATTATTTTGGCACAAAAATGAAAATGAATGAGAATGTTGAGATTTTCAAAATTTTCATTTTTCGTTTCTAAAAACACAATAATAATAATAAAAAGAATAAAACCAATACACAAATAAACATGTCCTAATGAGTTTGGGTAGAAATTTTTTAAAAAAACGAAAAGAAAAGAAAAAAGATAGAAAATATAGATAAAATGTGAATTGCGATTCTCTTAGTTATATATTTGTAACTGAGAGATTCCTTCAATAGTGAATATAATAATGTTGTTTAATTTAAAATAATTACAAATGTACATTCCTAATTCATAACAATTAGATATGTAAGAGCATCTCCAACGATTCAGTATTTTTTTCACTAAATTTGAGTAAAAAATGACTCATTTTCTCAATTTGATATCAGTTGCTCTAACGGTATATCAAAATCCCGTGAGTCAAAAAATGACTCATTTTCTCAATTTGATATCAGTTGCTCTAACGGTATATCAAAATCCCGTGAGTCAACCGGTTGGTCGACCGGTAAGGTTAATTTTTTTTTTTTTTTAAACTTTTTGAACCTATCTATTTGAACTGTTTGAACCAGTTCGCAAACCAATTTTTACATGCATTGGTCGACCGGTTGGTCAACTGGTGGTTGACCACCATGTGTAAAATTTTGATAAATTTCTGCTTTAACGGATATGCACAGTAAATTGGTGACATGAGCGAGTTGTCCTCAGTTTGGTGAAACGTTTGATATTTTCTCAATTTGATACTGTTTTGGTGCAACCGTTGAAGCACAAAAAGCAATTTTTTTCCATCAAATTTGAATTTGATATTGGATTTGGTGAACCGTTGGAGATGCTCTAATGAAATATATTGAATAGAGAGGATCAAAGTCCATGAAATATAAATATATTTTATTTATATTTCATTTATTATTTTATTTGTTTTTATATTTTTACTTAAATTTATAATTCAAACCCAGTCCAACGTAATCAACAGACAAAAGGAGGCTATGGAAGGTAGAAGCATAGGAAAGAAAGAAACAAAGCTTAGAAAACCCACCTCTCTCCAACCAGATTATACATCCTAGTGATCAGGGTTTCCTCATCTTCTGAAAATTTAGGCTTAGAGTCTTGACTGGTGTCCTCTGCTGCAAATACAGAGAGAGAAAGAGAGAGAGGTGATTAATTTCATAAGATACAATCAAATTTCACCCAAACAGGAGGGAAAAGAGAAAACAAGGGAAACCCAGAAGGCAATACCCTCCATTTTATACAGAATAGACAAGGGAAAACAGAGAGGTAACGTGCAAAACCAAGAAGAGACAAGACAGTAAATTCAAACTGAGGGTACCTCTAGAGTCCACAGAGGAGACATGATCACAAGTAGAGTGTTCCAAGTCAGCCATGAGTCTTTGAAAAAAGGGAATAATAAATAATTTTGAGTGTTGAATGAAGCTAAGAAGAAACTTTTGATCTGTGGGGGTGGAATTGGAAATGGAGGCGCGTAAATAAATAAGTATTTGATTGGAGAGAAGAGCCGTGGAGACCTAAGACTAGGAGGGTCTTTGTGGTGGGGACATTTTTTTCTTTGGAAAGAAGAAGAAGAAGAATAAGAAGACTGGGAGGTGAGAAAGCAAAAGCAAAAAGCAAATCAAAAGAAGAATGGTAGTTGGAGAGAATGGGCGTTGTAGTCCAACTTTGATGGGTAGTTGGAAATAAGAGGGAAAGACTCGGGTGAACGCCCCTCAAATATTGTGCATTATATAAATTTCATAATTAAAAAAAAATGATATAAATTTATAACTTTTTAAGTCATAATTTTTTTTAAAAAAAAGTCTTAACAAAATATTACATTAAACATAATTAAATATCTCAAAATAATATCATAATTAAATAAGAAAATTGGTCATAACTAAAGAAAAAAATAAACATAACTAAATGTGCATATGGTATGCGGTATATATGATGGAGAATTCTACAATACACACCTCTTATCATATGCATCTTTAGTTATATCATTTTCATCCTTAATTATAAACAATTTTTTTTATAATTATGACATTATTTTTATATTTTTTGTTATGTTTGATTATTACTTTTGTTTATTTATTTATTTTTATTTTAGTTATGACTTATAATTACGTCATTTTTTTCTTTAACTATAAGATACATACGGTACACATCTCTTAAAAGTGTGTACAATAGTCTTTCCATGCTATGTTAGAATTCTCCAACTTTATAATATAACAAAGGTCAATTACAATTTTCACCTGTATTTTTTGATTTAAATTTTACTTTGAATCTTATAATTTTAATTTAAATAATTTAATTTTTGTACTTTAAAATCAGATTCAATTTAGTTCTTTTTTTCAAATTTTCATTAAGTTTTTTCTATTTGTACAACTTTAAAATTTGACAAATGTTTGAACAGATTAAAATGTAATTAAATTTAAAATACAAAGATTAAATTATTCAATTTAATATAATAAAAACTAAAGTAAAACTCAAGTCAATGTACAAGAGTTGAAAATTTTCCCTACACGATATCTTCAACTTTGTTGGGCACAGAGATGCTTAGGGAGGATTTGCTTTGCATTTTTTTTTTTTTATCCAAATTGATATATTTGAGAAATTTTAATAAAAAAATTATTAATAAGAAGGTTGACTTTTTAAGTTTATAACGGTTTTTTTTTTTTTTTGGATTATATTTCCGAATAAACTTTTACATTTGGACTAATTTAACTAAGGAAAAATGTCAGAAATTCTTAGGGGTTGTTTGGGGTGTCCTAAATAAGTGTACTTTTTGTCTTTTTGGACTAAAAAATTGAGGAAGAAAATATAGATGTTTGGGTTAACTTTTTGACTTTTTATGAAAAAATGTGTAATAAAAATTGTAAAAATTGGTTTGTAGAGAAATTAGGATTGGGAGTTGTGCAGCCGTAATTGTTGACTTTTGGTGAATAGTGTTAACTTTTTAACTTTTTGAGTAACTTTTTGACTTTTAACTTTTCCTGGACATGCCAAACTTGGCCTTAATTTTAGATATATATATATATATATAAATTCAGTTACAATCATTTAATAATAAAGTTAATTCCGATATCATTATATGTATAACAAATAATAAATAAATATTTATATCATATTAATATTGTAAGTCAATCGTGAAAGCTTCTTCAAGAATCTCAAACATTTGTAACTAAACGTTAACTTCTTTTTTATATCCTAATTCCAACCAAGGCGATAGGGTGGTGGAGAGCCTAAGCTTTGGAGAGTCTACGGTTGCCATTTGGTAGAATTTTAAAATTTTAATTTGAGAATAAAATTATATTTTAAGTTTGTGAGTTTTACAATTATAATTTGAGTATAAAAAAATTATTTAGTTATGAATTTTAAAAAGAGTTTGAATTGAATGATATAACATATAATATTAAAAAGTGAGTGTTTTGAAAAATATTTTTAAAATGAATGTGAAATTAATTTTTTAAATTATAATAAAATAACACACTCAAACTAAGAAATAAAATTAAATTCCAAAAATTCCACCAAACAGAGGTTAGGGGACCATGGCGGAAAAGGTTTGGTGGATGGCATTAGGTGAGGAGGATAAGGTTTAGCAATAATTGATAAAACGCCAAATGATGAAACTGACATTCCACAAGAGCTTTGGATCCTTGTTCGAGTCCAAACAAGCCTTTGATTGTTCTCTTCTGGCCACGAATAAATAAACAAAACGAGACAAATTTTATCAATAATTACAATGTACTTTCTTCGAGTATAAAGAAATTATCACTAGTTTTATAATTTTATAATAGTTACACGCCAACTTTCCCAAATGGTTGACACGGTTAACGGCATATTTGAATTGACATTTTTAACCCCCAAATATTATTTAAAAAATGGCATCATAATTCTTAAGGTTTTGAAGAACTGTGTTAAAGAGAGTTCGGATCCTTTGTGATTAACTTGTGTAATTAATTATGATGATACAGTTTGTTCCAGCGAATAGATCGAATTGGTCCAAGCTCCTCAAGCCCAAGTCTAAATGATCAACCCCACCGAATAACCTGCAAACAAGTTCAATGGGGAACGAAGTAGTCCTCCAGTGAACCCTCCGACGAGTAAGTTAGGAAAAGAAGTAGAGTGTAGAGTGAAAGATTAGAGATAGAAAAGCTTAACCTTCTTCTTGTCTTCAACGTTTGTTTATATCCTTTGGTAATCATTTCGCTATCCCTTCCGACCTGCCCTCCTCGCCGAAAGTCTATGCTGTAACTTACCTTGTTCAGGGTAAGGGGGTCATGTTCTGACGGAGAGGTGTTGTAATAAAAGCTGTGATGAGCTGCATTAATAGTAATGTGGAGTGGCAATAACTTTGCAGATCTTTGTCTGCTGATGTGGCTCGTCCTTCACCTGCCATGTGTCTGAATGTCATTAGCTCTTTATGTCATGTTGGACTCTAGCTGTCCTGGACCTCACCAGCTGGGTTATGTATTGGGCTCCAAGTGATGGGCTTGGATTGTTCATAGTGATTCGTGGCCTTTATGGGCTTATACACGTCAGTAGTCCCCCATTCCCGAGTGCAGCTTTAGTCCAACGAAAGGAATATTAATGAAGTAGATGAGGGTGTTAGGGATTGGCAGGATGGAGGTCAACCGGCAGGGGTGACCGAGAGGGTGAATTGACCGGGAGGTGGTTCGACCGTGCAGGGCGACCGAGTGGAAGAGCCGATCACGGGGAGGACCGGCCGCAAAGGTTGGCCGAGTGGGAGGGTCGACCACGAGGAGGGCCGACCGCGAAGGGGGCCGACTGCGGAGGTTGGTCGAGTGGGAGGGTCGACCACGAGAAGGGCCGACCACGAAGGGTGAGGTGGAGGGGCGTAGGGCTCGAGAGGCAGCGTGTCACGTGGTGATTTGAAGTAGAAAAGGCAGGGTAAGGGGAGGAGACAGTGGATCATGGTCGTACACGTGGCAACATCCCGCAGGAGTGGGAGAGATTAGACGTTAGATCAGAAATGAAATGATAGGTCATTATGGGTGTTGAAAAGACAGTTTTGGTAGATGATTTGAAAAGTTTTCAAACTGGCGAAAATTAATTGGGATCCTTGGAATACGGGCAAACCATGGGCGTTTGGCATTATTCGATTCACCTACTTGTTTACGAAAAATCAAAATATTCCAAGTGTGAATTCCTTTGTTGCTCACGATACACCTCTGCAACACTTTTTCAACTTCCTTGCACCTGCATCCGAAGCGATTCTCAGGCATACCATAGAAATGGCCCAAGAAGAAACTGCGAATGTCAGAGTGGATCCACTTGGTGATGATGATGCAGTGGAGTTAGCACAGTAATATAGGATGGAGAGGGTAGGGGAGTCGGTGGTACAATCCCATGGTTCCACCATGATAGCAGCTCCAAAGCCAATAAGCCAAGCAAAACCAGATCACTGGCATACAAAGACAGATAGATCAACGGTTACTGCAGTGGATTTGGAGGCCATTCGCGAAAAATACCAGGTGCTTGCTGAAATAGAGTTATTGCTGCCGATGTCGACGGAGAGGCCATCCGACGCCAAGCCAGGGGAGTTTGCCCTTTATGAGGAAACATTGAAGGGAGGACTGAGGCTGCCCCTGCCGCAAGTGGTGGTAGATGTCCTGAATCGTTTGGAGATAGCTGTAGACACCCCATTTTTGACGGCCCTTAAGACTTGGACGCGACTGATGGTTTACTTGATAGAGAAAGGTGTGCAGGGCAAATGTTCAGTTTCTTCGGCAAGGAGAGAGTCAAATCTCAACTTCATACCCCTTTTTTTTTGGACCGAAACGATCTTGATCAAAAAATCTTAGACTTGAAACCATCTCTTTCAAAACGTTTTGAAAATAAAGTTCCTACGATGTTCCGACACTCGCATTTCGTTAAATGTTGCGTTTTTTGGTAAATCGAGCAAGGATAAAGTGGAAATGAATGAAAGAGAGATGAAATCTTTGAAAACTCTTTCAAAAACACCTTACTTAGGGGTTTGGAGTTGAAGAAAAGAAGAGAAGAGGGAAGAAACTAGTTTGGGAGAAGTTCGGCATGAATCCGGGTAGGAGAGAGTCGAGCAGCCCTCGCTGAATCAGTCCTATTCATTTGCATACTTGGATTTTAGCTATGAGGCCACCACCATTGGAAATCTTACTTCTGGGGCTTCATTTTTCACTCAAGAATCTCCTAAATCCAAGTCTGGACGGAGGAGATATGGTTGGTTGAAGTAGGGCATCACTCCGGTTGGACCGAATTTGCGCGGCTTTACTAAAACAGGCATAACTTTTAGCACACATGGAATTTTAATGCAAGGTTTGCGCCATTGGAAAGATAACTTCTGGGGCTTCAATTTGGACACCTGGTCGATCACCTTTGGACTTCCCAATCACTGGACAACCACCTTTCTTTCCGGCAGACCCATTTTTTGTCCTGAAAAACCAGAAAAAGTAGTAGGCCGACCATAAAAGGTGGTCGGCCGACCACTTATGCCCAGAAAGCCCAAAATTGATAGATATTCTCCTTTTAGCTATCTTCCACAACCTCCAGCTGTCCTTAAATGAGATATTTTCGAGCCAACTCTGAGGTTGGCCATATATGAGATATATCTCTCATTTTTCAAGAAAATCTTGCTAAGAAAGTTTTGGGAGCTTCTCACTCTAAAAAAACCCCTCTCTCTCTAGAAATTCTAGAGCCAAATCTCAGCCTCT